TTCCTGTCTGTCCAGCTTTCCCTCTATGTGAATGCTGCCCCTCTGGTCCCCCATGGCTGATTGCTCTAAGGGGTGTATCTCCCTACAGTAGGTAGGTGCATCGCCATGCGGTAGGTGTTCTGAATGTAGGTCTTTGTACTGTTGGGCTGAGAGCCAATCCATGGGAGTGAGTCCCAGTCTAGGTCTGAAGGGTAACCCGGGGGCATAGTCTCGGGGGTTCCACCAGACTCTATCCAACCAGTAATTCTGGTCATTCCATATGGTTTCTAAGGCTGTAGATCTTTATGGATGCAAACTGCCTCATATTTCTCCTATGGAGCAGCTAGTGGGTTTGAACCAATGATCTTTTGGTTAGCAGCCAAATGCTTTAACTACTGCACCACCACAGCTCCTGTTTTAAGCCACTAAGTCTTTGGTAAATTGTTGCAGCAGCAACAGGAAACTAATATGCTTCTTATGTATAATTTGTCATATGTAACAAATATCCTATTTTATCTTGCCCCACTATCTATTTATCTATCTCTGTACCAATGTCCTAGTGGAGCCCTAGTAACACAATGGTTAAGCACTTGGCTGCTAACTGAAAGGTTGGTGGTTCAAACCCACCAGCTACTCTACAGAAGAAAGATGTGCCCATCTGCTTCCATAAAGATTTACATCCTTGGAAACCCTATGGGGCAGTTTTACTATGTCCTACAGGGTCATTATGAGTCAGAATTGACTTAACAGCAGTGGATTTGCTTTTTGTTTGTTTGGGCACAAACGCCACTTTTCTAGTTACTATAACTTTATGGAAAGTCTGCAAATCAAGAAAAACAAATCCTCCTTTGTTCTTCAAAATTGCCTTGGCTGTTCTTGATTATATAGTTCTTTAATTAAAATATGGGAGCTCTGGTGGTATAGTGCCTAAGGCATTTGCTAACCAGAAGGCTGGTGGTTCAAACCCACCAGCCACTCCTTGGAAGAAAGATTGGGCAATCTACTTCCATAGAGGTACCACCTCGGAAACCTAAGGAGGGGTCGCTATGAGTTGGGATTGACTCGACAGCAGTGAGTTTGGTTGAATTAAATATATATATTAAAAGAAAACACAGACAGTACACAGGAGAGAACATTCCAATCAGAGAACATTCCAGGCAGCGAATAGAGCATAAACTAACAACCTCAAAATCATGAAATAACATGGCCTGGCAGTAACGTGTTAGTGAATCACAACAGCACAAAGTAGAAGCCAGGTGAAGTTTTAAAACCACTAGATTATCTATCATTCCTGGCAGTGGATGATTTCAACATCTGAAGCCTATTAAAAGTAATGGAAGACCTTCACTACTTACCAAAATGGACTTAACAATGACCAGAATTACCCTCTAGCCTGAAATAAAATTTAAAAACAGACAAAATATATAAAGCCACAGTTTTCAAGATACTAGACTTCAGGCAGCAAAGGACAGTGATCCTGTGAGATGAGGAACAAGAGGAGAGCCCTACGATCGCCCCAGCTGACTGCTTTGAGTTAGTCTGCAGGTCACGGAGCAGAGAGGAAGAGCCCAGACAGTGCAGGATGGGATCCCTAGTACGAAAAGGCAAAGCTAAGAGTCCAGGAAGACCAAGGAAGCTAGAGCTTTTAGGACAGAGTGCCAGACAGAATGAGCTTCACAGAGAGAGAACTCTGAACATTTGCAGAGGGTCTGCCTCTAGAATTCAGCAGAGTACTAATCAGAAAACTACCTGAGGTTGGGGAAAAAAAACACCTGAAAAGGTTAAAGGGAGTAGTACCTAGTGTTCAGCAACAATGGCCAGACTTCATCTCACCTGCTTTGCTCATGTAGTCAGAAGGAACCAGTCCCTGGAGAAGGATATCATGCTTGGTAAAGTAGAGGGTCAATGAAAAAGGGGAAGACCTTCAACGAGACAGACTGACACAGTGGCTACAACGATGGGCTCAGGTATGATAAGGATTGTGAGGCTGATGCAGGACCAGGCAACGTTTCCTTCTGTTGTACAAAGGGTCACTATGAGTTGAAACCAACTCAATGGCACCTAACAACAATACCTAGTGTTCACACAGGGCCAGAAATAGTGCCCTATTTCCATCAGCCAGACAGGTAAACCTCATAATTCACAGGGCAGTAGTACAGTACTCAGAAGGCTCCATCACCTGAGTGAGGAAAAATCAACACTAGACTAAATGCTGATCTGGTCCCACCTAACAAATCTTAAAAGCATGACCAAAAAGCATCAAACTGTTCTCCAGGCTCAAGAATATTCATCAATTACAAAAATATCCAGCACCCAACAAGATAAAATTCACAATGTCTGGCATCCACTCAAAAATTACTAGGCATGCAAAGGAGCAGAAAAATACAAGCTAAATAATGAGAAAAAACAATCAACAGAAACAGATCCAGATCTGACAAAGAAGTTAGAATTAGTAGACAAGGATATTAAAATAGTTACAACTGCATTTCATACATTCAAAAAGCTAGAGGAAAGATGGACTATGTTAAGTAGGAACAGAAAAGATTTTTTTTTAATATCTAAATAAACTTTCATTTTCTTTTATGTGAGATTAAAAAAATATACTAGATGGAATTAATGGTATATTAGACATTGCAGGAAAAAAGGATTAGTGAACTTGAAGCCACAGCAGCAGGAATTATCTAAAATGAAACACAGAAAGAAAAAACATTTAAAAAGGAAAAAGAAAAGTGAACAAAATATTAGTGAGCTGAGGAACAACTTCTATTAGCCTAATATACATGTAATTGGGATCCCCAGAGTGAGGGGTGAGAGCAAGATAGAAAAAATTATTTGAAGAAATAATGGCCAACAATTTCCCAAATGCGATAAAAACTATAAACTCAAGAGATTTTAAAAGCTCAATAAACACCAAGCATGAAACCAGTTAAAGGACAATTATGGAGAAATGTAACTAGCAGCACAGCAGTTTCAAAATCTTCAAACGTCCTCATGAAAACAGAGCAACTGGGAAGGCAAAGCCAAAGCCAAAGCCAACATCTACAACCGACCCAGGCCCAAAGAAGTTCAAATAATGGACCTTCTCATCATAGTTTATAAGTGATTTAAATACAAGTCCTTCAAACACAACTAACTGATAATTGAAATACTTGGTAATTTCTCATCCAGACATTTTTTTGTTAGGAAAAAAGAATGTCTTTTTATTTTTAAAATGGACTGTGAATATACGTCAATGAAGGAAAGACACTAGATTTAAGCAAGGGCTGGGTTACAAAGAAATCTGACCCTTTACTTCATATTTTTAAACTATATAATCTATGCCTCCAATGCTTTCAACTTTGTCAAATACAGTTAGAAATTCATTCTGACAGAATAAATAAACTTCTGACTCTGACAGAAAATACATGCCTACCACCCACACTGCGAGGGATTCTAGCAGATATCCTGGCAGTATCTCAAGTACAAGGGGTGCTGTACATTTCAATACCACTTATAGAAGATATAACTATTAACATACATGTTGGTGTTAATCAGCAATTCCCAACAATCCAGTAAGCACGATATTCAGAAATCAAAAGAACAAAACCATGAAAAGCATCGAAGGGGCTGTCTTTTTGAAAAGAAAGAAAATACTTAGTGAGGTGGTTGTCAAAAAGCAGTCAACTATTTCAGTTTTGCTACCTGAATAGTTTCAGTTACATCAGAAAATTCTGGATGATCGTGAAAACAGAGGATGGTACATCAAGTTCCTGGCCAAAGAAACAAGTGTTCTGCTCTCGCCAATTGGAAAATTACATCTGACAAAACCAGTTTCCATAAATGAATCTTAACTCAGAAAAACAACATTCCCAAATTACAGAATCACTAGGGCTTTTAAACAAGCATTCAGGACCCCAGTGAGAAAAACTGGCCAGAAAAAGAAAGCAAAAAAAGAAAAGCCCTCCCTAGAAACCTGCATATTATCTGTTAGAGGAAAGCTATCAGGAGGATAAGGGGCCCTGGTGGCACAGTAGGTAAATGCTCGGCTGCTAACCAAAAGGTCGTCAGTTCGAACCCACCAGCTGCCCTGTGGGAGAAAGATGTGGCAGTCTGCTTCCTTAATGAATACAGCCTTATAAACCCAATAAGGTGGTCCTACCCTATCCTATAGCATCACTATGAACTGGAATCAACTCCATGGCAATGAGTATGAGGAGGATGGATGAATACTAAACTCCTGTGGATGGGCTTACATGTTGGTTCATTCCCTACCCTTTTACCTAGAATTGAGAGACAGAAGAGATTAACCACCTGGGACCCAGTGCTTCCAGAACATTCCTTCAGTTGGCTAAAGCTCCAGAAGTCCAGAGCCAAAGGCTCAATACTTAATCAATGTGAACTTCTCAAATGCTCTTTTTAAAATTCCACTCCCTTTTGCAATAGATGGAATTCTCAACCAGGATACTAGTTTTGGCAGTCTTAGGTATAAACAAAGGAGCCCTAGTGTCACAGTGATTAAGCTCTTGGCTGCTAACTCAAAGGCAGAGATTCGAACCACCAGCTGCTCCACAGGAAAAAGATGTGGCAATCTGCTTCTGTAAAGATTACAGCCTTAAAAACCTTATAGGGCAGTTTTTATTCTGTTCTACAAGGTCACTATGAGTTAAAATGGACTCAACAGCAATGGATTTGGGTTTTTGGTAAACTAAGCATTGAACACAAGGTACTGGCCACAGCAGGGCCACAGTCAGCCAACCAGATACTAAACTAATAACCAGTAATAGTTCTTTAACCACCTACATGCATGTGGAATATGTCACCACCCACAGGGCAAGGGCTGGAGCTCTGTTGGCAGACCTTGCTGCTTGCAGGCAATTTTACATCACAATATGAAGCAAAAACTCAGTTAACTGATTCCAATTAAAGCAATCTGTGGCAATTATCCCGTAAGTCTGATGATCACTACACTGGACTATCTTTCCTTGGGAACAGATGGAAGTCATGCTGTGTGCTTGAGAAGTGAGCTCTCTGCAAACACTTACTTGAAGGGGATGTGGGTGGCTTCTTGGAGGGCTGCCGGCTCTCTGCCTTGGTACTGACAGCCCACTCTGGAGACATGTCCAAGTGTTCTTCGGTACTGAGTGAGTACTGGAACCGCACTGTGCCCGACTCCACCTGCTTCACCTGCAATGAACCACAGTTAGATCAGTAGTGCCCAGTGAAGGGAGCCTGCACACTCCTTCATCAGCACCCTTCTGTCAGAATAAAACAACCAGGAGAAACTCTCCCAGCCCTAAGACAAAGTCTAGCACTTCTGAAGTCACGTGTTCTTAGATTGTAACCGTTTTCTGAGCAGAAAATGGTCTGCTGTGGAATTAAAATCCCAGAAAGCCATATTACCATGGATTGACCTCTCCACAAGTAGATATCATGGTATGTCCCTAGTTTGAATGTTGAGTTTTATTAAGTAATCAAAGTAAAATTCACTAGGAGCTTTAACACATGTATTTACTAATCATATGTGACTGAGTTAGTTTCCTAGTACTGTCATAACAAAGTACCACAAACTGGGTGGCTCAAAACTTTATCAACTCTGGAGGCCAGAAGTCTGAAATCAAGGTGCCTTTGGCTGCTCCCTCTTATAATCACGCTCCTCCAAGTCTAACCTCTGACAATAACTGATCTGTTCTCCATCACTATTGTTTCGTCTTGTGCAGAATGCCTTATAAAAGGAGTCATACCATATATAACTTTTGAGGCTGGCTTCTTTCACTCAACACACTGCCAGGTGGACTTATCCAAGTTGCTGCATACAAAAGGGACTCTGGTGGCACAATGGTTAAAGTATTGAGCTGCTAACAAAAAGGTCAGTGGTTCAAACCCACCAGCCGCTCTGCAAGAGAAAGATGAGGCATTCTGCTTCCATAAAGATCTACACATTTGGAAACCCTATGGGGCATCTCCACTCTGTCCCACAGGGTCACTACAAGTCAGAAGCAACTTGATGGCACTGGGTTGGGTTTTGGACCACAGTTTGCTTATCCATTCACCTACTTGAGAACATCTGAGTTTTCAATCTGGGTGATCATAAATAAATAAATTTTAAACAACACTGCCATCAAGTCAATCCCAGCTCAGGGGACTCCATGTGCTACAGACTGGAACTGAGCTCTGCTGGGTTTTCTTGGCTGTAATCTTTAGGGAAGATCACCAGGCCTTTCTTCTGTGGTTCTGCTGGTGGGTTCGAACAGCCAACCTTTAGGTTAGTAGTCAAATGCAGTGTTTGTGCCACCCAGGAACCTGGTTATTATAACCTATTGATTACAGTGGTGTATAAATTTTTGTGTGAAACTAAATTTTCATTTCTCTAGGGTAAATACCGTATTTTACACAAGTAACGTGGGCATTACACATTTTTTGCCAACTGTGTAATGCTCTCATGCATTATTTTCCTAAGTGTGCTACGCATGTTCTATGTGTGGGTGCATTATTTGCATGGGTGCAGTATTTGCAAAAAAATACAGTACCCAGAAATAGCATTACTGGGTCCCACAGTAAGCATATGTTTAATTTTTATAAGAAACTGCCAAACGGTTTTGCAGAGTGACTGTATTTTTCATTCCTACCAGCACTGTGGGAGCTCTGGTAGCATAGTGCCTAAGGCACTTGACTGCTAACCAGAAGGCTGGCGGTTCAAACCCACAAGCCACTCCTCGGAAGGAAGATGGGGCAATCTACTTCCGTAGTGATACTGCCTCGGAAACCCAAGGAGGGGTCACTATGAGTCGGGTCCGACTCGACAGCACAAAACAACAAAAACCAGCACTGTATGAGAGTTTTTAGTTTCTCTGTACCTTTGCCTATACTTAGTTATTGAGCCCTTAGTTATCTAAGGGCTAATGATATTGAATACTTTCTCATATGATTATTTGCAATCCATGGATCCCCTCTGGTGTAGTGTCTCTTCATGACTTTTGCCCATTTTTTAATTGGGTTCTTTGTTTTCTTACCAGTGAGGTTTGATATATTCTGGAGGGAAGTCCTCTGCAAGTGTTATGAATTGATTTGTGTTTTTCAAAAGAAAAAAAGTTCATGTCCTAGCACCCAATACCTGTGAATATGACCTTGGAAATAGGGTCTTTGCAGGTGTAATTAGTTAATGGAAAGTCACGTGTTGGCCAACTTTATCAAAGTAGGGAGTAGGGAGGGTCATGATCCAGTATGACTGGTGTCCTTATAAAAGGGGAGAAGAGACCAGACAGACATGTGAAGACAGAGGCAGAGACTGGAACAATGCATCTACAAACGAAGAACTGCTAAGGGCCACCAGAGGCCAGGGAGAGGCAAGAGCAGATTCCTCCCCTAGAGGCTTCAGAGAGCACCTGGCCCTGATGGCACCCTGACTTCAGCCTCCCAGCCTCCAGAATAGACACATTTCTGTTGTTTTAAGCCAAGCAGTTTGTGGTACTTTGTTAGGACAGCACTAGGAAACGAACAGATGTGTGATTTGTAAATAACTTCTCCAGCTATAGCTTGCCTTTTCATTCTCTTAACAATATCTCTCTTATTAAAAAAAAAAAAAAAAAAAAAGAGTTTAATTTTGATGTGGTCCTATTTATTAATATTTCTTCTTACAAATCATGCTTTAAAAATTCTTTGCTTAACCGAGATTAGTTTACAAAGATTTGTCTCTCGTGTTTTCTTCTAAAAGTTACTTACTTTCATGTTTTGTATTTAGATCTATATTCATTTTGAGTTAATTTTTATATATGGTATAAAGTTTAGCGGAAGGAAGATTGGGCAACCTGCTTCCATAATGATACTGCCTCGGAAACCCAAGGAGGGGTCGATATGAGTCAGAGACGACTTGACGGCACATAACAACAACAACATGAAGTTTAGGTCAAGATTCTTTTCTTTAATTTGGGTTTCCAATTGCTTCATCATAACTTGTGAAAAAGATCACTCTGTTTCCATCGAATTGCCTTTTCAACCTCCTCAAAGATCAGTTGCCATGTTTATGTGATTTATTTCTGGACTCTCTAGTCTGTTCCATTAATCTATGCACCAATCCCTTCACTCTATATTGGCTATGACAGCTTTAAGTAAGTCTTAAAATTGTGTAGTATGATTCCTCCAAATTTATTATTCTTTTCAAAACTGTCTTAAGCTTTTCAAATTCCTTTGTCTTTCCATATAAATTTTAGAATCAGTTTGTCTCCACAAAAAATATAAAAATCTTGCTGGGATTCAGATTGGAATAGTGTTAAACTATATATAGATCAATTTGGAGAGAACTGACATTTTGACTAAGTTGCATGTTTCAATCCATAAGATCATGTCTCTCCATCTATTCAGGTCTTCTTTGATTACACCTAAGATCAACTACAATGAGATTAGAATAGTGATGCCCAGAAAAGGAACTGTTTGTAGTTTCAGCATACAGATGCTATACATAATGTGTTAGATTTCATCAAGGCGAGGGCTTTGTAAATAATACTGTTTTTTTAAATTTTGCTTTCCAGTTGTTCACTGCTAAAGGAGCTCTGATGACAGTGCGTAAGGTACTTGACTAGTAACCAGAAAGTTGGCAGTTCAACCCACCAGCCACTCCACCAAAGGAAGATAGGCCACTCTACTTCCATAAAGATTTACCACCTCAGAAACCCAAAGGGGGTCACTATAAGTCAGAATGGACTCAATGGCAGTGAGTTTGGTTTGGTTTGGTTTAGCATACAGAAACATGACCGATTGCTCTATGTTGACCTTATATCCTGTGATCTCACTAAACTCACTTATTCATTCCAGGAGGTATTTTTGTAGATTCCTTGGGATTATCTACATTAGACAATCACATAGTATGTAAAACATGGCAACTTCATATTTCTTCCTTTCCAATCTGTATGTCTTTTGTTTTGTTTTCTTGACTTATTGCCCTAGCTACATTTTCCTAACTACAAACAAATGTTGAATAGGATGTTGAATGGTACAAGTGGATATCCTGGGCTTAGGGGAAAATCATTCACTTTTTCACTATTAAGTATGATGTTAACAAGGGTTTTTATACATAACCTTGATCATGCTGAAGAAGTTCCCTTTCATTGCTACTTTGTTAAGTTTTTGTCCTAATGGATGTTGAATTTTGTCAAATGCTTTTTATGCATAAATTGATAAGATTATAAGGTTTTTCTTTTAGATTGCTAACATGTTAACTACATTAATTGATTTTCAACCATTAAACATAAAGAATTCAAGAGGAGAATACTCTCTTAAATTTACCATTTCTGTTGCTACTTCTTTATTCCTGGTGTTCCAAGTTTCCTTCTGGTATCATTTCTCTTCTATCTGAAGAAATTCCTCTAGTAATTATTTTAGGGCATGTCTGTTACCAATAAATTCTCTTCATTTTAGTTCACCTGAGAATGTCTTTATTTCACCTTTACTCCTGCATGATATTTTTGCCAAGTATGGAAGTCTGGGTTCACAGCTCTTCCCCTTAGCACTCTTTAAGTTTTATGTCCATTTCCTCTGGCCTCCACCATGATGAATCTAAATTGTTGTTTCTTTACAAAGAAAGTATCATTTATCCCTGGCTACTTTAAAGATACTTTCTTTGTCTTTAGTTTTCAGCAGTTTATGATGTATCTCACTGTGGATTTCTTTGGATTTACATCCAGGGTTCACTGAACTTTCTAGGCATGTAGATTTATGTTTTTTTGCCAAGTGTGATTATTTCTTCAATATTTTTTTTTTCTGCACCATGCTCCTTTCATCTGACTCTAATAACAGAGGTGTTAACTTCTTGGTCTTGTCCCACAGGTACTTGAGACTGTTCACTCTTTTCCAATCACTTTTCTTTCTGTTGTCCACACTGATTTCTATTGTTACACATTCATGTTCACAGACTCTTCCTTCTGTTATCTCTGTTCTGCTATAAAGCCCATCCAGTGAGTTTTTTATATTGATCATTTTATTTTTCAGTTCTAAAGTTTCCATTTGCGTCTTCTTTTTATTTTCTATTTATTTGCTGACACTGTCTATATTTCATTTCTTTCAAGAGTTTTCACCCTTATTTCTTGCAGCATATTTATAACAGCTGTTTTAAAATCTTTGTCTGGTAATTCCAGCACCTACCTGTGTCATCTCAGGGTTGATTTTCTCAGTCTGTTGATTGTATTTTTCCA